TTTCCTCCTGTGAAATCCTAAAGAGCTTTAAAAAATTTTTTGTAAAATGAACATATATATTTTCATATGTATTTAGGCATTTGCAAAAAAAAAAAGCGTAGCCTATTCTATGATAGAATGTTGTCAGCTATGAAAAAGTTGAAGTATCTCACCTATCCTTCCATTTTATTCCCCGATAATGTCCCTAGCCCCCTAGAGTAAAACAATCGAAACATGCCTCACCCAGTCTAGGGTTTCTTGGCCCCTTTTGGCCTCCCAGATGCTTGCTTTCCCAGCCATTTCTACTCCTGTCATAACACTTCTCTACCTCTCTCATCCTCCGACCCACACATACAGCCCCCCTATTTCCAGGGGGCAATACAAGCAAATGGAAAATAATAAGTTCTTTGTCTAGTGTCTAGAGCTGCATCTGTTTTACAGGCCCGTTCTTTACACCAGTGTTTCTCAAACTTGAGTGAATAACCTGGGCATCTTGTTAAGATGCAGATTCTGGATTCAGCAAGTGTGGGGGGGTAGGGGGAAAATTCTCCATTTCTGACAACTTCCAAAGTGAATCTGATGCTGCTGGTCCTGGTCCACGGTCCACGCTTTGAGTAACTAGATTTTTAAAAATTTGTAAGATAGACAGCATCTGAGATTCAAACAGAACACACTAAATAATTAAGTGGCAGTTGCTACAAAATGTGATGGGATTTGATAGAATTTGAGATGTGCTTTTTCTGAACACTAAATATGAAAAGTTCTAGAAAGATTAAGTCTCAATGTATCTATTACGTAGCAATAGTTAGATAAAAAAATTATTGGCTTAAAATATTATCAGACATTTATTTTGCTCATGAATCTGAAATTTGGGCAGAGCATTGTAGAGATCGCTCATCTCTATTTCACATGGCACCAACCAGGACAGCTCAACTGGAAATTGGAGGAGTCACTTTCAAAATGACTCACTCTTATGGCTGGCAAGTTGATGCTGGCTTTCAGCTGGAAGCTCAACCAGGGCTATGGGACAACCTTCTCGGCTCCTCTCCATGTGGGCCCCTCCAGGAACTGCTTGGGCTTTCTCATAGTGTGGTGACCAAGCTCTAATAGCAAGTGTCTCAAGAGACCAAAATGGAAATACATGGCATTTTTATGGCTTGGTCTCGGAAATCACATGGCATCACTTCTGCCATACTCTATCAGTGAAGGCAGTTACAAAGGCCTACTGGGTTCAAGAAGAGAGACATAAAACTCTACCTGTTGATAGTGGAGTGGCAAGATTCTAGAAGAGCACGAGGAATGGGAGATAAAATTGTGATCATCTTTGGGAAATACATTCTGCCATCGTCATCAATCCCAAATCCTTTTTGAACAAATGATAAATTAATTAAGACACAAATTTCTCTAGTTCTAGCCTATCTCTATTTCCATTTCTATGTATTTTGAGGAAAAGAAACGTAGAATAGATTGGAAAAAATTGAGGGAAAAGTAGAAGAATAAGAGATTATCTGATGGAGGGTAGGAAAACAAACAGGAAGAATATAGCTATAAAAGTGAAGGGAGTATAAAAGGGAAGTAAGATACAAGCACACGGAAAAGTAGAGGCAAAAATGAAGACAAAACTCACCTATTTACTTCCTTCCCTACCCTTACTGCTACCTGTGAAAGAGTGGAATGGGTAGGAACCTGATTTGTTGAGAAGCCCCCTCTGTTATTTGCTGCCAGTCTCTGGTAGAAAGAAAGCAAGATTGGAGCCCAGTACCGGACAATAATAAATGAATTGAGCTAATTTTTTCTTTCAATAAATTTATTACAGCAGCGAAGTGAATTCAAGCATAAAACCTAGGGCTTTTTCAGATAGTTCTCATCTCTGGCAAGACCACAGTGTGGTTGGACAGGAATGGGGGCTGGGGTTGGGAAGAAGCGACCATGTTGCCTGGTCCACTTACTGCATTTGCCAACTTGCATTTGCACCTTACAACTTGAGGTCTGATTCCAGTGAAAAACACACCGACGGGCTATTCTTCGGACTAGATAGGTATCCATGCAATTTGAGATTATCATGATAATCAAATCTACCAATTCACAGTGAGAAATGCTAGTTATGGTGAGACATGGAAAGAAAATGTCCCTCTTTTTGCACAGAGCCCTGCAAACTGGCTCTCCACACTGCCTCACTTGGTCTCCACACTGTCCTGCTGAATGTGAGCTCTGCGGAGGTTTGAAGTGGTGTGAGAAAGTCATGTCGCACTCAATGTTTGGTGCTGAAGGCAAGACTCTTGTGATGAGACCACAGAATTGCTACCCTGGAGCAGCATTTCAAAGACCAGAAGGGAATATTTCCACCACAAACTTCACACCAATTCCCTTTTAGACAAAACCGCTGAGCATACCCATGTATCAGAAACCCACCACCTCTTAACTCTTGCTCTAACCCTCCCACTTTCCATTCCAAGGATAAAGACTTCCCTGATAAAGGACTGTTGGCTGGTACGTGAGAATGTTCTAGTTATCATATTGAGACGGGTTCCTGGAAGGAGGATGAGAAAAATGGTCTGCTGTTTCCTGATTTCTGCCCAAGCATGTCTGTTCTGTAGGCGTCCTGGAGTTCTTCCCAGACGGCAGATCTCAAAATCTTCAACGCCAATCATGAATAAGAGTTTCATTTACTTAAAAGAATAAACTTGTTCAGTGTTGTAAGTATGAATGAAAAGTGCCAGATTAAAAGGAGCAATTGCTGATCTTCACTTACACTAATGTCCTGAGAGAAAGGACCACCTCATTCACCACTTCCCTTCCGTTCCCTATACTAATCTCTCCCCTTTCACCAAGGCAGTCAGGGAGTCTACCAAAGACACAGCTGAGTCAAGGCTAAGTTGACTGCCTTGATGTGTGACTTTGGGCATGTCAGTTAATTTCTCTCTCTATTTGCTCCTATATAGAATTAGAATAAGAGTCTTTATCCCTCTTTACTTTCCTTTGAATTTTGCCAAAAAAAGGCATTACAAAAATGCTGAGGAAAATTCTGCCAGCAGCATTTATAGCTGCCCTGTGAGGGAACACTGTATGATCTCAACACAAAAAGTCTATAAATATGGCCTTTCCTGCTACATTCATGCATTATCAGGGCAGCATTATCATTAGACACAATATCATCAAATGTTAAATAAAATAAACATAGGATACTCAAAGGTGGAACCATGATGATGAAAATAAGCAATTAAGACCCTTAACACCTTAATACGACTCTGCTTCATTCTACTAGGACACGTTCTCCTTTTACATATCAGACACACCAATCTCTGACAGTGCATATTCTCTTGGTCCCCTAACCCAAGGGGAGAAGAGCCTGGGGGTTCACATTCAAGCTGGGAGGTCCAGTCTTAGAGCGTGCTTGATATAGTTATGTCACATAACAGTATATTTATGCCCTATAAGTCATGAGCAACCTTGGATATGGCACCTAATCTCTCCAAGCCTCTGTAATAGTTTGCTAGGGCTGACATAACAAAATACCACAGATTGGGTGGCTTAAAAAACGTAAATTAATTTTCTCACAGTTCTGGAGGCTAGAAGTTCGAGAGCAACATGTCAGTGGGTCTGGGCTTGCAGATGTCTGCCTTCTTGCTATGTCCTCATGTGGCCTTTTCTCTGTGCCTGTCTCCCTGGTGTCTCTTCTCTTCTTATAAGGACACCAGCCAGATTGGGTTAGGGCCCACCATAATGGCCTCATTTTAACTTAATCACTTATTTAAAAACCCTATCTCCAAACATAGCCACATTCTGAGATTGAGCTTCCAAATGTGAATTTGGGGGGATAATTCAATCCATAACAACCTCTGTAAACATGAAGATATATGTAAGATGTAGCCAAGAGCATGAATTACAAATGTTTTATAAATTATACGTCACCATACAAATGTTGTATCATTGATATCATTCTTGTCATTATGATTATTACTCTCTAGGACATATTGTCAGTCTCCTGTAAGATCTAAATTCCCCACATTTGGAAGAATTATAGCATAGTGGTTAAGAGAACACGCTCCAGAATCGATATGTCTAGATCCAAATCCTGGCTCCACTTCTTGTTAGCTGCGTGACCTTGAGAAATTATTCTAACTGCTCTAAGCCTCAATTTCCCTATCTATAAATTAGAGATGTAAAAATAGTACCTACATTTTAGGATTGTTGAAAGGATTGAAAGAAAGAATGCATTCAAGTGACTAACTAATAGTATGTGCTCAATAAATTTCGGTTGTTGTTATTAATAGCAGTACTTAGACCTTGTTGCTGCTGCTGCCTCTTTCTCAGCTGGCAGAGGTCTCCAACATAGTCAAACTAGCACTAGCACTAGCACTAGCCTCCCTGCACTGCAGCTGCCAAGCACATCCACTGTTGGCAGAGAAAGTAGTGAAAGAACTGCCACCCTGTGTGAAGGAAGGAGAAGAAATCAAAAACAAGAGAACAGAGAATAGTTAGGATTCCATGGCAAAATGTTGTGTGAACAGGTGACCATGAATTAAGATGGTCTAAGTTCTAGGGCTGCTTCAGAGACTGACTTTCACTGACATTGCCCTCACTTCACCCCACTTTAGTCAGTTCTAAAGTTGAGTCAAGAAGAATTATTCACATATATCTCAGAGGAGCAGTAAGAATGAATTGGAAAATGTCTTCATAAAGTTCTCTGAAAACAAGGAGTGCTGCTAAATAAACATTTAACATTTCTTACATTATTAAGTTTATTTCATCTTCATCCCTGGTTATACTCCATTCCTCGGTTTTGCTTCCACTGTAATATATTTCCTTGAACCTTCTTTTCCCAGACAGGCTTACACCTCCAAGTTCAATTATTCTGTCAATTGTGTTTTAAATTGTACTGATTTATATTAACCATTTGTGGTATCAATTTGTTGATCTGTTCCTTCTTCTGAACCAATCATCTTTACACCCACCAAAAGCTGGAAAGACAATTAAACTGAGGAAGGTGAGGGTTATTCAAGAGAAATTAAAGCATAGAAGTAAAGACAGTGGGAAAACTGGGATTAAAAAGAGTACTGAGGGAAAAATACACATGCACTAAAAAGCGAAGCACAGAGCAGATAGAGGCACAGAGGGAAAAGAGGAGAGCAAGGTAGAAAACAATCCAGCTTCTGCCCACACGCTCTCTCTTTCAGCACCAAGGACAGAGCCTCTGAAGGGCTGACCCAAGCAACATTCAGTTTAGGGTTCCTCCCAAATCCTCTAGGAAAAACGGATGCATTTGAAAGCAGCTAGGAAACATGCAGTAAGGTCTAATAGGGAAGCTAGAAGAGCAGCACACAAGTGATTTCACCTTAGAGGCAAAAATGGGTGGTTTTCTTTCTGTTCATTTCCACAGTTTCTGTGTCCTGGGAAAGGCAAAGTTTGCTTTGCTTGGGTATGTCTTCCGTCAGTAAAAGGCTGCAGGAGCGGAGGTGCTAAACTCCACAGTCTCCAGAAATCAGAAGAAATTTTCAGGGTAAGTAATTTTTCTTTTTGTTTCTAATTTTATACATAGTGTTTTCGTGGAAGGTTATTTAATCAGCTTGGGGTTCTGTGGTTCTCTAAGAATACGCATTAAAATGCTGTGCCCACTCTTATTTAAAAACCTGAAACCCTGAGGAAACTGTTTTCATTTTTCCTCATTTTTTGCACAGTAAAAACCTGTTCTCTTTCTCTTTTTCTCCCCCAAAATTAGATCCTCATGGGCTCTAGAAGCTGTATCAAGGCAGAATTAAAAGATGGAAAATAAAAAGCTGTTACTATTCCTGGGATTTGTATGGAAGTTGATTGTATTCCTCTTAAGGGTTTTACTTAATTGTAAGGGTCTGTTATTTTAAACTCTGCAATTCAGCCCCCTGGTAATCCAGGGCTGAGGGTTTGGAGAAGCACTGTTTTCAGTGGTCTATTTAAAGTCAGGCTGTTTCCAAGTCAGAATCCAATTATTCCCAACAGAGATATGCAGTACTTGAGATGATGATTGTGTATGTTTTCTTGAATGATGGCATATGATTTCAAGGGTATTGTTGTTGTTTAATTGTGGGACTTTCATTACTTACTGGAGCTTATTGGGTCAACGGAAGTCGTTGCAATTAGACATTTGTTCCAGTCCATGCGTTTAATTTAATCGAATATTATCAAAATGCACACACAAATAATAATACAGCAATAACAAAGTGGAACTTAGATTCTAAACTCATCCTGCATGCCTGTTTGCACTTTATAGGTGAAGCCCTTTGCTTACTGATACTAAAAGGTCAGTAAGATGTCTGTTCTTGGGTAAGAGTGAAAAATCGCTATTTGAGACAGCATTGGGGTCTCCTGTAGCCAAAGAGAAGCAGATACAACGTGAGAAAGATTCTTATTCAGACATTTATTTATTTATAGTTAAATACTTTCAAGAGTTTGCATGGCTAGCAGTGAGCAGGGGTGTTGAGCAAAGAAAATACTGACAGTATCCAAATGAATGCCTAATATTAAAGCATCTATACAGAAGGCTGCTTATTATGGAATATGAATTAAAGCAAACACCAAATAGATTTTACCCAACATTAAATTCAATTTCTAATGCATTGAGGTTTGTCATTGATTAACATTTGCTTATTGATTGACTGACTGATCCATTGAGTTTCCCATTTTATCTTTAACTAGAATGGTAGGATGCTCGGTTGTTACAGATTGTGATGGAAAGTGAGGGTGCTCTGCTCTACTGGGTAGGTTTAATTAGGAAAAAACGTATATTACCTTAGCTAGTGGATCTCAGTAACCAGCTATGGTTTTTCTCTGTACATTTGCCAACAATGTAAATGTGCCCAAATGTATAAATATGCTATGTATTTCAATGCGCTTGTGAATCTTCATTAGGCAAATAAACTAGACAGCAATTTTCAAGAATAAAGTGCCATAGAAATGCTAAAGACTACCTCTAATAATAACGACAATGCAACTCCCACTGGTTCCACGTGCAATGTGCACCTGCATTGACTTCACTGAGTTTTGGTCAGGTGATGTGCACGAGATACTCTGAAAAAGCGAGGTTCTAAAACTAGTCCCCATTTCAGGTTTGTCTCCCTCACCCCAACAGTGGAGTAGTTAAGAACATGAGCTCTGGAAACAGACAGATCTTGGGGTGAATCAGCTCCATCATTTACTGGTGTATGATCTCAGCAACATACTTAACCTTTCTGTTACTCACTTCTTCATCTGCAAAAATGGGGATGATAATAGCACCTACTCCCTTCATCTGGTTCTTGTGAGGTTTAAATATGATGATGCTTATAAATGTTAGCTATAATTATTAATTTTTTCAGGCAATATAGCAAGTCTGCATTGAAGCTCAAAACCAAAAGAGCTCTGGAGGCTAGAGGTCAGGATGCAACTGAGTGAAAGGTTAGAGACAGCAAAAGACAGGGATCTATGATGCAAGTGAGTTGGTCATGGAACCCTGCTATTGAGGTGTTTTGTTCTGGGTTTAGGAAAAACCATTCCTACCTGAAAATGACTGCGCACACCAACTTCTACACCCAGCATAGATACATTAAATAAGTCACAAGTTTTGGATTTAGGGAGCCTGAGAATAAGCTGGGCTCAAAGCAGCCCCTTTTACACACTGGGTAGTCTTGAGAACGTTGCTGAACCTCTGTCTGTCTCAGTTTTTTTAATCTATAAAAGGAGGATATCAATATCCCCCTTCAGGGCTGATATAAATATTAAAATGAGATAATATGTGTCAAGTACCAGTGCCTGGCATGCAGGAGCAGCCAGAAGTGCTTGTGACTATTGTCTTCAGAAGGAGGTTGAAAACTCAAGGTCTTTTTGTTTTTGTGTGTGTGCTTGTTTTTTGCTTAACTCAATATCCTTAAGGAAAAAGAACAAATAATTAAAATCCTATAAATCTTAATGAGTGTCTTCCTAACAAATTCAATGGGAGCTCAGTATGGAACCAGGTGCCAAAGAGGCACCCCACAAATGTTCCTGGCAGACTGTAGTTCAGTACTGAGGGATTGAATATCAGCAAAGCAGGATGTATGTCTTAGCTGATGGGATCCTGACCACTCTCTGTCCCTCTGCTTTTTAAAATAGATTATGCATTCACTCCAAGAGATGCTAGGATAAACTATAAAGACCAAGATCAGTCAACACTGTAGGAAATTAATTCAAAGGCTCATTAAAATTCATAAATAGTGTTATACATACTGAATATTAAAAGAGTAAGTCCAGTATAATCTTCTAGTCCTTGCCCTCTCCACTTTCTCACCTCCTGTCCACGCTTAACTACTAACACTCTTTGCTGAGGTCAGCAGTAATCTCCTAACTCCCTAGTCCATTAGACGCTTTGCAATCACATCTTATTTGACCCCTTCGCTATTCCCACTTTCCCTTTAACAATAAAGGCCACAATATTTCAAGTACTATGTGCCAGACATTATACGAGATCCACGATTCTCAGTAAGGAGAGCAATTTTGCCCCTCAAGCGACACTCGACAATGTCTAGAGACATTTTTGATTGTCACAACTTGGGGAAAGAAGAGCGCTACTGGCACTAGTGTGTAGATGTCAGGGAAGCTACTGATCATCCTCAAATGCACAGGACATCCCCCCATGACAAAGAATTATCCAGCCCAAATTGTCAATGGTGCCCAGACTTTACATTTATAATTTTGTTTGATCTTCACAATAACCCTATGGAGTAGATATGATTATTCTCATTTTGCTGATGAGGAAACCAGGCTATCGTTATGAATTACTTAGAGAGTGATTAAGTTAATGAATTCTCCACCGGGCTCTTTGCTTCTTCCTACCTGAGACCAGTTACTATCTGTTATCATATCTATCAGAGGGAGAAAGAAACGAGAAAGCCCAGCCCAGCTCTGTGTTATATAAGCAAAGCTGGTTTTAAAAAAAAAATCTAAGGAGGGAGGAAGTTGAAACAATTAGCTGAGAGTCGGGGAGTAATCCAGCATCTCACTCATTTTCTGATTTCATCTCCCACACCCACAGCTCATCAGGAAATCCCTGGACAACTCAGGCTTACCCCCACCTGCTGCTATAAAGAATCTAAGACCAGAGACAGTACAATGTAAAAAAAAATAAAACAGATCAGAAATCTATGCAGTTGTGATTCCAATACCCGGCTCAAAATTGATTTTCAGAGCTGAGACTTTCCCTTCATATAATTAGTCATTGACACTGAGCTGTGCTATTTTTCAGTAGCTGTCAAACCTCAACAGAGCAAAATGTCCAGCAAGATGGTAACAAGTATCCCAAGGTTTTAGGCTTCCTTCTTACCTGACAGGTGAGATGAAGCAAAGGCATCATTAGCCAACTGCAGACCCCAGGAAAGAGTGATTTCCGGCCACTGCTTCCCAAGGTAGCCCAGTTGCAGGAGAAAAGGCATTCTGGGAAACATCCTTGAACAATCAGAAAGCATTGTATTTTTCCAAAAGCTCTTGGCAGCGGCAGTGCTATCTCCTGGGTAGTGACTGCCCTTCTCCAAATAATGAGAAAATTATAATTATTATCAAAAATTATTATTATGTTTTAAAACATATTGAGTGCACACAGTGTGCCAAGATAAAGAACTTTTTTTTTAAACAAATCTGTGAATTCACTCCAAGTTGTTCGCCTATTATAATCATTTGTTCATTTTAATATTTTCACATTCCAGGCTGAAACATTTCAAAATGAGGCACAAAATGACAGCCATGATGAGGCCAATCTCCTAATCAAAGGAGAGCTGCAGATACCAGATTGAGAGCAAATCCTGGCTACCAAGCCAGCCTCCACCTCTGCCGGGGCTTGGAGCAAGAGTTCCCATGGAGGTTCATACACTCCATGTCTAAATATTTTAGTCAACACCAACAAACTATTGAGTAAAATGTTTAATCCTCCTGCCTTGACAAATATACCTTCATAGCAATGTGGAAGGCCAGGTTTGAATTTAGGATTCCTGAGCCCTTAATTAAGAGTTCCATACAAAATGTGAGAGGGCAAGAGAAGCCATCCCCCAGCCCCCATCCTGTCCCAGCAACACTGTCCTCTTCTCTCCCCACGTCAGGCTACATACAAGCTATTCATCTGAGCTCCCCCAAAGAGCTACCACTTGAGCCAAGTGGCCCCACATGTTCATGGCACAGTCCACCCCCAGGGTGACCAATCCAGAGCAAGGCCTGTGCTGCCCTGGAAACAGGATCCAAGCAGTTGGGGCAGAGAATTCTGTGATCTTGGTACCCAGAGTGTGGTCTAGAATGGGAGTGTGGACTCTGGGTGGACCTGCTCCTTGGCGCTGTGGGAGGTATGACCTTATCCTGTGGGAAATGTATACCCAGAGGGAGTCCAGAGTGGGACCTTCTGAAGCAGAGAGCCTGGGGCAGAAGTCATTCTTCCCCAGGTCTCAGGGCCACACTGTAGGCTACAAGACTTGTGTCTTCCCCCAACACGAGGCTTTGATGCACTGCTACCCTTGGCATACAGGCATTTCCATATTTTCCTTCAGGACATGGTGACTTTTGTCCTCCACAGATACCTAAGACCTGGGCTCTAATTGCCCAGAGCCCCTTCTTCAGGGCTGGCCCCAACAGGCTGGTGTCACAGGGACAGCTAATGGGCTTTGATGCTTTTCTCACTCTAAGTCCCAGGTCCCCACAGTTTGAGGATTGGCTCTTCTCAGTGGGATAGTGACATGACAGTTGTTATGGCTTTCAGGTGCCAAAGGAGAGCGTTGGAAGAATTAGAAGGCCTGCATGGTAGTTCTGCCACTAATAAGCTGTGTGACTTGAGACATGTTACTTGTCTCTCTTGGTCTCGATTTCCCTCTTTGAAAAGTGAGGGAGCTGGACTAGGTCAGAGGTTGAAAACTGGTGGTGCATAGGTCATTGGCCCGTGGATGTGGGATTTTTTTGGGGTGGGAGGGGGGACTTCATAGGGCTTAAACATTTTTTTTAATTGGTAACCAATCTTTAAAAATTAGGAGATGTCAAATAAAATTCCACACATGTATTTTCCCTAAGTATAAAAACCACTGTACTGCCTCTAGACTCCATTACTCCTGAGATTTTCTCACTCAACCCAGTCGCCCCAACCCACCATGCCCAATGGAAGATATGAGAGTCAGAATGGGAGGCTGAAGGAAGTGATGGGAGACAGAAGGAGGTGGCAGGGGGAGGCAAATGGGGAGAGAGCATGAGAGGGAGGAAACAGGAAAGGAGGATGAGAAGCTAAAAGAAAAAGACCAATAAGAGAAAAAGAGCTAACATTGTACAGCTTTCTAGGTGTCATGGCTGTCAATGTCTTACATATGTAATAGCTCATTTAATCCTCACCAAAACCCTATGGGATGGGTTCCGTTATTTTCCCCATTTTACAAAGGAGGGAAATAAAGCTCAGAGAAGTGAAGCAACAAGCCCAAAGACCCCAGGAAGTGGCAGAACTGGGGTTCTAATCCTGACAGCTTCCCACATCACTCAGAGTCCAAGGGCAGTTCTTTCAATGGCCCTGCACAACCTCTCAACCTCACCCCCTTCCTCTGCCCCTGTCTCACTTGGCTCCAGTCACACTGGTCTCCCTGCTGTCCCTTCCACACACTAGCCTGTCCTGCCTTTGTACCTGCTGTTCCTTCTGCTTGGACAACTCTTCCCCCAGATAGCTGCATGGTCGGCTTCCTTGGGTCCTCCAGGTCTTGACTCAATTTTCACCTTCTCCACGAGGGCTTCCCGACTACCCTAGTTAAAAATTGCACTCAGACACCCTACTAACACACACAACCCTTGCCTTCTCCTTATCCCCTTCCTTGATTGCTTTTCTCCAAAATACATACCGTCATCGAAATATGACATCTTTTATTTACCTTGTTTATTACTGTCTTCTGCTCTAGAATAGAGGATCCATGAGGGCAGGAATTTTTATCCGTTTGTTCATTGCTGTATTTCCAGTGCTTAGAACAATGCTCAATAAATATTTGTTGAAGCAATAAGTCAAAACAGGTACCCAAGCAGCCAAGCTCCAAAGAGCAGATTTTACTGACATTGTTTTCTGTCTCCTCCTAGGAAACCTCTTGGGGTCACACCTCTCCCTCTGGGCTATGGCACCTCTGAGCCAGCTGAGTGGCCACATCAACTCCACCTGCTGGGCAGAGAATTCCACGGGAGACAGCCGGGCTGGCCCACACTCCTACTACGCCCTCTCTTACTGTGTGCTCATCCTGGCTATCATCTTCGGCAATGGCCTGGTGTGTGTGGCCGTGCTGAGGGAACGGGCCCTGCAGACCACCACCAACTACCTGGTGGTGAGCCTGGCCGTGGCGGACCTGCTGGTGGCCACCTTGGTGATGCCCTGGGTGGTGTACCTGGAGGTGAGTGGGCCCCAGGTGCAGGCTGCCCATGTAGTAACTGTACTTATCTTTGTCTTCCCTGAGCTCCTGGCCTTCTGCGCTCAAAACACTCCCTGCCATGATCCGGGGACTGGGGAAGGAAGGAGAGCTCCTGTCATCCTCCCTTTAACGAGGGAACTGAAGCTCTTCAGGGCAGCCACCATCCAGCATTACTTGCCCACATCAGAACCTGGGAGCTGGGAATGATTCTGTTCCCAGGTCTCCAGCATCCAGGTGACTGGATGTGAGTGATGGTATACTCTCTCTGCCAGTCATGTCTCAAAGATGTGGGGGATTGAAGGAGGCAGTCCAGTGGGCATCTGCATCAGTGTTTCAATGTATATGGGGTGAGGGTGTGCAGAAAGGATGTTGGGGTGGTGGTAGAGGAAATTATAGAAAAACCAAAAAAAAATTTTTTTAATGAACGAGAGGAAAAGAGAGAAATACTTTTTGTTCAGTTGCCTCGGTTTTGGCTCTTTCCTCCTGGATACTGGTTCTCCACTGACTCTGCTACCAAAGAAACAAACCAAACCTTTAAATTTATATTTTTGATGCCCCCATTAATAGTACAGAGACCTCGCCAGTCAGATAATGCAGCAGACCCTGGAGAATTCTTCTGCAGAGAAACATTTCTTAAATTTGAAAGTATTTTCATTTGAAAATGCAAAACAGAGTCAGGAGGTGATCAAGACAAAACATCCATCTGCTAACAAGGAAATTGGGGTGCTTACACCTGCTCAAGAAACAGATATTCTTAGCAGGGAAACATGCAATTACTGAAGAGGTTTTTTTAAAAACACCTTATATACTATTAATATTTCTCCTCTGCACTGTGTATCACTCTAAAGAGATATCCAATGAGTGATCGAAATGATGCTATGATTAATAGAAATTAAAATTCATCAAATTAATATCTCAGTTAGTATTAATAGTGAAGATGACAGTTAATTAATTATGACATATCACAGGAGAGCAAAAATCTTGAGCATAGACTGCCTAGGCTAGTACCCGTATTAAAGAATGACTGAAAACTAAAATTAGATTTGTGATCTCAACAAGGAGACATAAAGGAGAGAAATCAAGAAAATAGAAAAGAGAAGGAAAACAATAAAAACAACTAGGCTGATTGGGATAGATTTAAAGGCTAAGGGAATACTCAGAGAAAAAAAATATGCATTTATTCTTCCCAGTTAGGACAATCCTGATGGCAAAGGATCTTGTCATTATCTTGACTTTTCTGTCAACCCAGTTAGGCTTGAAATCAGAGGCTATGTCTTTGTTCTTTTTTTGCTGTAGTCCAAACACACTACCTGGTATATAATATGTGCTAAATAAATATTTGATACATGAATGATTAAATGAATCTGTTCCGCAATGTATGCATTAGATGGACATTCCCACTTATATCATCTGCTGTATATCTATTGTGACAGTGAATTAACTTTTTTTTACAACCAATAGTAATGAGATTGAAAAGGAGTTAGAAGCATGTGATATTTCTGTTCAAGAGTGAGGCAGACTTTAGATACCACAAAACAGAATGGATTAGTCAGTGATTCATAACACCATCACCATCCCCAAAGTGTTTTTGTCCATCCCTATGCATGACAAGGATTCTTAAGTCTTCCAGAAGAAATGCAGGAAGAGGACCCTCACTCTAATAAGCGTTTCAATTGCCTCTGAAATAAAACCAGGCTTTTGGTGTCTGTAACAAAGCCACTCAGGGGTACTCTTGGGGTGTCCATTTGTGACTGCTTCCTGAACTCTAGATGGGCCACATTGGAAAACTCTGTAGATAATGGTATAGGCAATGGACATTGTGACTTTTCCGCACAGGACACCCGTGGCAGCCCCTTCTAGCCACAACTGCCAATACAGACGATGCCCCATTCTACTGATGAGCGTAGAAGAGCAACTGAGCCCTCAGACAGCTGGCATGAAATCTTGCCAAATGTTTAATGGACTCTGCAGTTTGGATCCACAGGTTTCCCTCATCAGAAGAATTCTGGTGGAGCTCTTTGTTTCCCCTCATAAAAACCAGCATGCCCTCTGTCCAACAGGTAATTTGGTGTAGGTGTTCAGTAATCAAGAGCATGGTCAAATAAACCTACAATCACATGAAGATGATTTGGGAGAGCAGAGACATCTCTCCACTAGGAAATGGGCATTGGGGCCTCTTTTGGATCCTACCCACTTGCTTCAAGGCTTTAGTTAATGCAACTTAATATTTCTGCATCACTTTCTCCAACAGTTAGCCAAGGGGATGTCTCATTAAAAGATAGATATGACTTAAAGTAGTCATCATTAACAGATGACCAGTTAAGATATTAGAAAGTTCTAGTCCAAAGGACCAAGTCCTCTTATCACACCCCAGTATATACTTTTCTTAGTCTTAAATGCCTGCCTGTTTACATGGGCCTCAGAAGCAGATGGGGTACCTTAGTGAGAGAAAAGAACACTTTGAGCTCTTAAAGGGACTGTGAATATATAAATCCATGTGTTTCAGGAAGAGCAAATTGTTACTCTCACTAACTTGTCCTAATGATGGTGCAGTCTGAGTAGCTAGTCTAGTAATTACATTATTAAACCTAAGAACCCTTTGAAAAGAGGAAACGAAGTAGTGTTGACCACAGAGACTGCTGTATGATCAGGCCCCCCAGGAGGATAGGGCAGACATGAGAAGAACACCATGTGCGGGCCAAATTAGCTGCCAAATTCAGAGCATCCGGTGCTTTGATTTCAATACATCCGTCTTCTGTGAAGGGAATATTGGCTCATATTGGCCAGACACCTTCCTTCGAAGGAAAAATTGGCTCATTTTGCCAGACACCAATATATATGTGTTAAGAATGTTTTGGCTGTGAGCATGGAAAATTTGACTAACTATGGCTTAAACAAATAGGAGTCATTTTTCTCACATAACCAGAATTCTGAAGGAAGGCAGTTGTTGATTAGGTTGCCCCACGGTGTCATCAAGGACCAGGTTTCATCCATCCTTCCTGTTCACCATCCTTGGCAAGCTGGCTTACTTCCTCTTGTTACTCACAAGATGGCTGCCATAGCCCCCAGCATCATGGTTTTATTAAAAAGTAAGATGGGTGGGGACAGCAGGAAAGAAAAGGAAAAAAAAACTCTTTCCCTGGAGTGGCTCAAGGTATCTCCCTAAGGGACTTCACTTAAGTCTAATTGTCCAGAAGTGGATCATAAGGCCACCTTTAGCTACAAAGGGAGATAGAAAAGAAAAGTGAAAATGTGGGTTTTATTAAAAAAGAAGATGTGGGGGTGAGGAATTGCTGTGAGGTAGGCAGTAAAATGTCACATAACACTGTGTCTATGCTGGGATTCACTGGGAAGAATGTCATTCCATCAAGAGCTGTGCTATGAGAAAGACTCAGAACTGGGAGTCAGAAGACCCAGAATTAAGTGAATAAAATGGAGGCGACAACTACACATTCCCTAACTCACAGAATTGATGTTAGGCTCAACTGTCATCAACTAGAAAGTGCTTTGATAACTAAAAAGTGTGATCCATAAATATCTCAGTTAAGACACTTTCAGTTGTATGCAAATGAAAACTTAACTCCAATGAACTTAAACAATAAAAAGAATGCATTGGCTCTCACTCTAGGAGCTTTAAAAGTCCTGTAGAAGGGTGGGCTGCAGGCACAGTTGGAATAGGGCTCCAGCTCCATCTCTCTACAATTCTTTCAGCTCTGCCTTCTTCCATATATTGGCCTTATCCACAGTCAAAGGGTAAGCTATAGGCTTCACACGTGCACACCACACCATTCACAGCAAGAGAGAAGGGCCATGTCCCAGAATTTCTAGAAGTGTCAGGATGTACTTTGACTGGACTGACTTTTGGCACATGATTTTCTCTGAACTAATCACTGCGTAGAAGGGTTGGTTTAGCAGAGGTTATGTGTTCCTTCCATGGAACGCATCAAAGATTTGCTCAAGACTCTCATGGATTCCCAGTGGAATCCAAGGACTATCGGAAAGAGGGAAGAGGACAGTCAGCAAGTACACAGCACAGTGGTTTTCACTGGTACCATTCTCATCGTTAAGGCACCCAGGAGCCTGGGTTTGGGCGGTATATACAGGGGGACCAGCCGGGGCCAGTCACTGACGCTCTTCAGGTTTCTCTATCCTCAGGCCTAGCAGAGAAGTTCAGGACAAAAACCGTGCAGGCTACCTCAGAGCAGATTATATTCCAGAGGGCCCTGGCCTGGCTGTCTCTTTAATCCAGTTTGCAGCATTTTCTCGAAAACTCTTTTCTGTGCCATACCAAATAGTTCTATGTCTCATTGCTTCTCAAGTTTTTAATTTCCTGCTTTAGAAGCTGCAGTCTGTTGGCAGCTCCCTCTCCAAGCACAAACATCTCATTTTGTTCCACTTGGTTAAGCACCTTTTGTGATGTTTAATGCACTTATATCAGGGCAGCAAGGCAGCAGGAGCAGCCAGGGAAACATTTGGAATACTAAACTCTGAGTACTTGAGTCCCAGTATGGACAGGAGAAAAGACTCAAGGATTAAGTAAAGCAGACAAGCAAACAAGAACAGGGGGCGTTCAGGCAGAGAAACTCCCACCAAAAGAGTGATCAAGGTCAGGAAAATGCAGCACTGTTTGGGGAGAGAGGAGCCTTTCGCCTTGTAATGATACTGATTATTAAAAATAAGAGCCTGCTTTTAAAATAGGCTCCTCCGTGACTCTTATGCAACTAAACTTTGAGCGGTTCTGAGCTAACCTTTCATCACAGGGAGCTGCTCGTTCAAAATACAGACAGTTGAGTCTACCCCAAATCTACCAAAGTGGAACTTCCAGGGGTGGCCCTGGAAGTCTATAATAATTGTGACCAGCCCCTAGCTCCAGCCCCACTACCATGCCAAGTGATTTGTACCATCAGCTGGCCACCTGGTACCAACTGCCATTGAGGAACCACTAATCTGTAAGACTCCCCTTTCACAGATGGAAAAGTTGGCATTCAAGGAAGTGAATCCCCTATCTTGTCCAACAGCAACCCCCTCCTGCAAAAAAAGAAAAAAAAAGATTTCAAATGTGGCAAATGAAAATGGAATGAAGAGGCTAATTAGAGAAGTAATTCCATCTTTGCCCTTTGGCTATCTCCCCAAAACAACTAAAAATCCATTCCTTAGAGCAGGAGTTCTTAATCTGGGGAGTCCATCAACTCGGATGTAAATAAAATTACTTCTTTATTTTTACTAAGCTAAAATTTAGCACTCCTTCAGTTATGAATGTAGGCATCAACCTACAGCAGGAGAAATCCTTAGTGTCACCAGGAGAAAACACAGATATTTATATTTTCAAATCGCATTATGGTTGTTACAGGCACCATTTACACTCATCAGCACTTTTCAATTACAGGAATTTTGGACCTGCTGCTAGGTCCTGTCATTTAATGCATTATTAAAGAAGCACGTATATTTAAAATACTTTAGTGACTAGATTTCAATATAATTGGTATCCTTTGTTATTCATTGTATTTTATTTTATACATTTTAAAACATTCTTCTGAAAAGGGGACCATGAGGCCAAAGGGATCCATGGGACAAAGCATGCTTAAGGAGCCCTGTTTAGGGACAATCATTTCTGAAGATAATGTCATGACCCCCGCACCACCCTGGCCAGAGTTTCCCAAACCTCCTGGGCAGTAAGAATCACTGGAGGGTCTTATTATTCTGAGTGGGGCCTGAGAATCATTTTGTTTAACAAGAGCCTCGGGTGATTTGGGAAATGCTGCCTTATAATCAGTAAATTTGGGAAATGCTGCCTCAGGCTATGTCTGTTGAAAATCAATAGCCAACTTCAGTACCTGAAGACACTCTTCTTGCTTACTCCCACCTTCTGTATTGCCAAAGGGAGTCAGTTATATTCATTAGCAAGTGAGAGTAACACCACCTGGCTGCTGTATAATTCTGAAGTGAGTTATTCATTAGAACTTAGGAGAAAGGTAGACTCATGTCTCTAAAGAGCCTTAAATCAATCAGATTTTTTTTTTTTTGCTTTTTTCCTGCTTTAATTTCAAAAATCACTTCACCTTTCATGTTCTCCCAACACCTTGTACTTGTCGCACTGTCAGCATGTATCGCATTGAATCATAGTTATTTTCTTAGTGTCTATCTCCTGGGCTCTCGGTGCGCCCACAGCCATTCACACATTACTCCCCCTTACACGTGCACACTATGTTCTGAGGCCCTGGTGACAAAAACAGGTCTAATTCATTTCAGAACACCCACCCAAGCAAAGTATCAGGCATATAATGGGCACTCAGTAAATACTGGATATATGGGTGGATGGAGGGACAAATGCCAACTCTCCTTCCTCCCATGATATTAGACCGAAGTGAAATGCTACATTTCCCAGAAGTGGCGTGTCAAGGTGCTGACCTTTGAGAGGTAAAAGAGAGTAATCGTTAATATTAAGGGTTTGAAATTCCAGCTCCTTTTCCTAGCTATGTGTCCTTAGTCAAATTACTCAACCCCTCTCAGTTTCCATTTATTTATCTATAAATTGAAAATAATACTTACCTCCTCGGGTTGCTATGAGATAATGTGTGAGAGTTACTTAGCACAGTTCTTGGTCCTCACTGCTCTTTATTGATCACTTACTGTTATTGACTTGGTGTGGAGGACTCCAGTAAAAAAAAAAAAAGTATTTCCATTACACATCCTGCCAATTAGAGACTGATTTTAATGAGTAAACTCCACGGAAGGCTGAGTGATGGCACCTTAGTGGGAATTACCTTAATCAGCTAATCAGATTGTTTTCTCCTTGACACTTAGCTGAGATCAAAGAGAGAATGGGAATTTTGATGGTAGAATTGGAGACAGGAAGATGGGATAGCCAGAATGGGGTGGCACGGTGGGGTCGGGAAGCCAGAGGACAGCTTGAGGGCTTCGGCCATTGGCGGCTAAAGAAGCAAAGTACCCAAGAAACCTGCCAGGTGGGTCCTTCCACAAGGCTCCAAAGTCAGCAGCCACCACTACGTTGCACTGTGATTTTGCAACCCTGGGATAGAGGCAATCAGAAGGAGGTGTCTCATTCCCTAGAAGGGAGATGATGCATCTGTCACACAATCTTGATGAGCAGCTGGTTTTCTCCTTTTCCCTTGTGTCCACCCATTTCCATCCCTTTCCAACAGCTGCCCTCTCCTCGCTTGACACTTCCCTAGAGCAGAGCGGGTAACAACTTACATTCCAATGTCCTGTCTGCTTCTACTAGTTGTGCCACCTTGGGCAAGGTGCTGAACCCCTCTAAGCTTTAGTTTCTTTCTCTGCAATGAAGATAAGAGTAGTCCTCTCTCATAGGATTATAACCAACAATAGACGCCACGTACGTAAAGTGCTCTGCAGAACGTCAAGACTTAGTAAGCGCTTGATAAATGTTAGCTATCAGTATTAATACAGATTATGCCAGAGACCATTCATTCTTTCAGAATATATCTGCATGCCGGGCACTGCTCTAGGAGCCAGGATGCAGCAGCAAAGATGTAAATGTCCCTGCTCCTAGCTGATTAAGTAACAGTCATTTAATCTCCTATCAAGCGATTGTATAATTTACTCCTATCAAGTAAGGGTCCTCAAAAAGCTTTAAGAGCAAATACAATAAAAAACAAATTCAGTTTTCAGAATCTGAAGTTTCAAAGTTATAGAAATTGCTGGAATGGGTCATGTGGGTCAGAGACCCATGTAGAGTAAGTTCTCAATAAATGTTAGTTTGTATTAACAATATTAGGATCTCATGATGATCTCTAGTTGTTTTATTGAAGAATGCCTTGCTTCTCCAGTTCTTATAAGTTCTTCAAGGACAGGACCTGAAGTATACTTATTAAAAACCTCTTAAAACACATAACATACCCTCCGTCTATGAACTAAGTATTAGGGGCTTCCCAAGTACTTGCTTTATGAACGAATGAAGGAACGAACAAACACTCATCAAGCACGGGAGTTTGCTGTTGTTCTAACTACCCTCTCTCACCTACACTGCCTCCCCAACACACATACACAAACAGGCACTCAAAATTTTGCAAAAAAAAAAGTGGTTTAAGACATAAATTACACAGTAGACCTACGTCAAAATGAGATTTAGTATGCAAAACTCAACTTCTACAAGAAGCTTTTACAGCATACAACTCTCCTGTGTACTGAGCAAAACCATCTTTTATTCTCCTGGATCCCTTAAATCATTGTGTTATTATGACTATACATCTCCCTTTTAAAAAGTTTTTCATTCTCAGAATTCCTATAAATTCATATTCGGCCTTTATTTATATAGAGAGCCAAATGGTTGAACTAAAAGAGAGAAAGTAAATCCACAACCAAATGAACAAAAGTAATGATTTCATCGCTAGTTTGAACTTTTCATTGTTGCTTTTAAACAAAATATCTTCAGTCAGAGTTTCTCAGAATAGAGTCTGGAGATGACCAAATATAGGAATAAATTCGGATGCTGAAAAGAAAAGAAATCCAAAGGAAAAGAAGAGATTAAGGAAGGGGAAGGAGACAGAGCCTTTCAGAGCCTTGCTTTGGTGCTAAGGATAAATCAGGAATGAATAGTAAAGCGGGCTGATCATATAACAAGGATCTTGGATGAGAACAACTAGACGAGGAGCAGCACTATTTTGCGCACTATTTGGACAACACCTGTTTTTTAACTTGAGAAGCTACTTCAGAGGCTACTGTACCTATTTTTTACTCCCCTTCCTCTTAAGTAGCCATTGGGCCGGCCCAGTAGGAGTATCACAAACACCCAGCCACAGCCAGGGCACAGAGTTTCACAGGTTTCTCCTTGAGAACCACGGTCCCCAAGAACGCAGCCCCACGGGTGGGAAGCTGGCAACGCACAAAAGCCCAGGGCCCAAGAGGGGCGTTTGTGGACATTCTGAAAGTGATGGTCTCCCTGACACATCTCTGTGGCTCAATTAGGTTATGGGAAAAATTTTTAAATACAATAGAAATGTGCTAGAATATAAATTAAATTACCTAAATTGCTGACTTTTTATAGATGTTACTCAGAGGAAATTATGGAGCTTGGAACACAGATGTAAATGCATGAGGTCAGAAGCATCCTCACTGATTCTGTGAGCAGTAAAGAGGATCCAGGTCCTTTCCTGGACCCAGCCTTTCTCCCCACCTCTTGCTGATTAGGACCGGGGTGTTGCAGGCAGGCACACTGGCTCACACTCATTTTACATAGGCTTTTATAGATGTTGTTCCAGGATGCTTCCAAGCTTTAAAACCAGAGCAGATAGATTTTCATTTTGGAGTTGTTTTATGAAAAATGTGTTCTCAGCTTATTTCCTGGGTATGTGGTGAGCTCTCCACCGGGTAGAGGGTTCAGAGAGGCAGGCCTGGTGCAGTGCACAATTCTGGCGGTCACCCGGGCTCTTTTACCACCAGCTGGGCATCTCTGGGCATATCACTTACCCACGATGAGCTTTACTCGCCTCCTGCGTTTGAACTAGATCAGTGATTCTCAAACCTTGGGGTGATGGGGTTGTTTTATTTAAAAATGAAGATTCATGGGCACCTAGATCCAGATATTCTGCTTCAGTAGGTCTAGGGAAGGATTTAGAAATCTACGTCTTTAACCATGGACCACACTTTCAAAAACACTGGACTGATTTGGAAGATGCCTTCCAGCACTAACGTTCTAACATTCTGTGAGTTTGTCCTCTTCTGGGTGACCAGTATTAGGCAGCTTGGGACTCCCTCGATGTGTGTCTGCCCTTGGTAACAATGATGTATCCAACAGGGAGGGCGTGTCAGCATCTGTATGGGGCAGCCTAGGGAAGGCAGTAGAATTGATTGGGTTGTCCCTTCACTGGGGAAACACTAACATCCTTGTCTCTGACGCCCAGGTGACAGGTGGAGTCTGGAATTTCAGCCGAGTTTGCTGCGATGTTTTCGTCACCCTGGATGTCATGATGTGTACAGCCAGCATCCTGAACCTCTGTGCCATCAGCATCGACAGGTAGGGCTGGGCTTCCCCTTCCAGGCTTAGCGGAGAGGTTGCCTAGACCAGGTCGTGTGGGAAACCAGCCTCGGGCAGCTACATCTGCTGTATTTGAGGCAAAGGCTTTGCATTTGAGGACTCCGGGGTCACTGCCAAATAGAACTTACCACTGAGACACTTTCTTTCCTCTCTTTCTTTTAAACTATGGTTTGCAGGTGAGAAGAAACCTCTGTGGCAGGAGAGAAATAATTATCCTATAGGCTTTCCTTTCCCCCAGGTCCCTAAAGAGGGTTCAGTTTTGTTCTTCCACCATCCTTCAGGGCTTTTGTGATTCCTAACTGGCAGAAAGGGGGAGGGGGGCATGGAGGAAAGGTGAGACGGTTGGGAAGGAGATTTCCTGTCATTATTTTGTTTGTTTTTGGCAAAGGGAGAGAGGAAAGGTAGGAGAGAGAGAGGAGAGAGAAAAGCTTGGGAGAATTTGCAAGGAGGGAGAGAGGAGAGAAGTGGATGGGGGAGAAAGGCAATTTTAGGAAGTATGGCTATGATCTATTTATTTATTTCCTTCACAGAGTTTAAGGGAAACAAGTAAATAATGATGTTTTTTAGAATTGCATTTTGGTTGCTGGAGTGGATTTCTGTGATTTTGACTCGACTCTGTGCATGTTCCACCTGAGTAACATGGCTTTCTCTCCCTAAGACGGCACTGTCCTGGCTCTGGGTCCCTCTGCTCCTCACTTCCCCTCTTTTGGCTTTCTCTCCTCTTCCCCTTTCCCCTGCCCAGGCTTAGATTGGCCATGGCTCCCACGGACATCACCAGGCCCGCTGACAGCCCTGGGGAAAAGAAGTCGCTTTCTAGCCTATGGCCTCTGTCGCCAGTCAAAAGCCTTCAACCTTACCTCCTCTGAGTCCCCTCCCTGCTCCCTTTTCCACATTGTGCTGAGGCTTTGACATGCATTAACTCATTTCGTCTTCACCACAACTCAGCTACTATTATTATCTTCATGTCCAGCTTCCTAGGGTAATTAAGGAACTTGCCTGAAGTCACACAGCTAGTATGGGGCAGTGCCAGGATTTGAATTCATGTCTGTCTCACTCCAAATTAATAAACTTAGGCTTCGTGCTAAGCCTCCTCAAATCTCCAGCTACACCCCTAATTTCTCCCAAGTTCCAGACCACATAACTGCCTGGAGATCCCCTAGGCTCCTACAAGGCAAAATGTTAAAAACCAAGCCATCAAACCATCACAGCACCAAACCATCTTGACTTGATGATCTCTTATTGGCAACATCATTCTTCTGGAATCTTGAGTTTTGTTTGGCTCCTCTCTATCCCTCATCTCCTACATCAAAGCATCCAATACTTATAGATGCCATTTTTGAAATTTTTTCCAAATTTGCCCCTATCTTTCATTTCTTATTGTGCCTGTCTATTTTAGTCTCCTATGATCTCTTGCCTGGACTTCTGCCACAGCCTCCTTACTGGTCCTCCACTCTCAGAATTATTCCCCCAGAAGTAAAGCCCGAATGTCCATTGCCATACTCAAAAGCCTTCAGTGTCTCTTTGGCCCGTGGAATAAATATTAAAATTGCCTTCACAGCCTAGGTTTCAAAGTTTTCCACAATATAGCCTCCATCTACCTTTTCAATCTCATCTCTATCTGGGTTGCCCTATATTCCTTTCTTACTCCAAGGCCTATCACACCTGCCCCTTTTCCATGAAGCCCTTCCAAATGTGTACAGCTTAATTCAGTCTCCCCTGAACTCTCATAGTCTTCCTCTGTGACTACATCAGGGCATCTCCAGCCTGCCTGTTGCTGCAGGTCCTAACGGCGGTCCTCTCCATTCTCCGCATTTGATGTTCACATGAGCCAGGGCTGTGCCCTCCATATCAGCAGCCCTAAACTTCCTTTCATGTGCTGAAATGAGAATTTTGAACAAAGAATGCACATGAAAACCCTATCCTATAGTGATACTGCAAACCAACCAGTCAGTTGGATGCTCTTTTGACTTTTATCACTTGATTGGCTACCCAACTGAGAAGGAAAATTAAAGAACGTGTCCATAATGCTGGAACTGATACCATTAAAGAATGTGTTTAAAAATAAAGGGATATGGTTATATAACTCTGTAAATATACCAAAAAATATTGACTTGCACCCTTCCCTTTAAATGGATGAATTGTGTGGTATGTGAATTATATGTTGATAAAGCTGTTAAAAAGTAAAGGGATAGTTAGGGATTTTATAACATGTAGCTCTCTGGGAACAGAATTTCTCTTATAACATCTAAGTCTTTAGTGTGATTTCCGGACATTTAGTACATGATTTGGGGAATATATTATTTACAGAAGAAATGGACGGCATCTGGTTTGCAATATCATCACTTCCACCACCCCCTACTCTTATACTAGTCTTGCGCCTATTACAGAGCCTTAAACAAAGAATATTAAACTGAATTCAGTGGTTCCTGCCTGAGGGTAGGCAATATTTACACTACAAATACGCACCTTCAGAAAGAACGTGGGCCAGTGGGAGAAGATCAGCCTTGGAGGAGGGAGAGAAGACCAGCATAAAGACAGCTTCTAGGAGATGCTCTGGGATAGCCCCCTCCCAGCCTCCTACTTCCTGACCCTACTCTCTATCCTCTTTGAGAGTGTGTCTATATACCCTACCCACACAGATCACACACATGGGGCTAGCGGGTGAGGCCATGCGGATTGTGCCCTACACTGGGGTGTGGGAACAGAATTCAGCCAGTGCTTCCTTTGCCAAGCCCTGAGTCGACCAAGAGAGGGTGCCTTTTTCTAATTTGCAGAGCACCACTTTGCTGGCAGCAGCCATGCTTAATACACACTTCTACTTGCAGCACTTAAGACACAACCAACAAGAATAAACCTTGAATTGGCTTCTGTCCTATTCAGGAAAACTCGCGGAATGCATAGCACTCACCTACCTGAAACCTGAAACCGGAGGCCAAGCCAGGCCCTAGACCCCAGTGGAGAAGGATGCTCCCTTCTCGGGTAGTATGTCTATATGAACCAACCCCCACCAAACCTCAAAATGGAGCCTCCTCCCTATTCTAGGAACGAAAATTGGCCTTGGAAAAGCTGTCTCCATTATCCTTCACAGCAGTTTGCAGTACACAGCATTAAATTCTGTTCATGTGATGCCAAATAGCTGGTCAATTCATTAAAAATGCAGTCATTCACGCAGACCTTTGGTCTTCACACAATGCTAGTCACCAGTCTGACAAACTTGACCAAATGGATTCAGCATTTTCTGGTCATGAAGCCCTGGTCTGTAATAACAGGGTAGTAAGAGATAGGAAAGAAAAGGAAATGATAAAAAGGGGTTTTGAAAGCAAGTAATACTATTGTCATTAGATTCTTAGGCACAGCTCTGGAGGCTTGGATTAATGCCGCCTTTTCTTTTTTAAGAGCAGAGTGGGTGAGCACAAGCCCCCACCACCCCCTTGGCTCCTTGCCTCCCCAGCTGGCCAGACCCCTCCCACCGCATCCTGGGTCAGAACTAACTTGGGGAGAGGGCTGAGAAAGTGTCAGAGGAGGAGGACACGATCCGGAGCAGTGAGAATTAGAGTCCTCCTCAAGGAGCCCGGGCATAATGCAACCAAATTCATTCACCAGGGAGTTCTTTAAGTGGCTCTCAAATGGCACCCATCACATAGGCAAGCCTCCGCGTCTTTGCAGCGAGCACAATAGGTACCAGATGAGTCACAGGCACCTTGGATTTTTCGTTTGCATCTAAATAAGCACTTTATATTTGCAACAGGCTTTCCAGTCTTTTGCAAAAAGCTTTCTCCCTCAACAATTCCACGAGGGGAGTCCACAGAACTAAAGATTTATTGAGCCCCCTGTCTGACCAAATAAAAGGTGGTGAAAAGCAGCCCTCACAGAGCTCTGGGGCTCATTAAACCCGGGGGGGGGTTAGACTCAGGGCCTCCCACCCAGCCCAGCCTCCTTCCTCCCCAAGGCCAGCTCCCTCAAGAGGCACCCTTGTCAGTTCCCCCATAAACCTCCCACCCTGGGAAAGGGCTCCAGGAGGAGGTCGTATTCTTCAAGGGTCCTGAGACCTTCAGCAGAACGACAAGCCCACAAACCCCAGTCACAGAATTGGATGTCAGAAGGGGCATCATAGTTTAACTCTTTTGTGCAGAAATGTTACATGCTTGCACTGGGTCCTGCAGACTCTTAGACAGGCCTGGGACTACAATCTGAGTCTCCCAACTCCCCGGCTAGCCTGCTCCAATGAGTGGCTCCTTCACTGGCGAAGGTGGGGATGGAGCACCCAAGGATAGTGGCCTTGGTGGCAGCTATCTCTCTGGCCACGCTGGCAGCCCACCTCTCTAGGTGCTATTTCCTTGGCGTAAACCAGATGCATTTCCTTTGTCTTCAATGCCCTGGCTACCTCCATGCTAATCCTAATTTGCCTGAGTCTAAAAGCAACAACAATAAAAATGGCGACCATTACCATGTGCCAGGCCTTGAGAGCTTTTCCCTATCGCTCACCCTCACAACACCCCAGTGCAGTAGGCAATATCCCCATTCTGCAGAGATTCTGAGGCTAGACTGTGTAGGTGAGCTTGCCAACATCATGCGGCTGGCAGGTGCAGGAGTAGGGATTCTGTCAGCCTCTTCTACCCCAGTACACCGCCTTACACAGAGACCCTCAGCCACACTCTGGGCCCCGCAGCTCTGAGCCACACTGCCTGGCTGCAAAGCCTGGCTCTAGCACTTCATAGCAATGTGACCTTGGGCAAGCCAATTAACCTCTCTGGGCCTCAGTTCCCTTATCTGCTTAGTGGAAATAATAGCAAAAGAGTTGTTACGAAGACTAAATGAGTTAATATTTGTAAAGCACTTCAAACAGTTGCCTGGCACATAGGAAGGGCTATCTACTTATTTGTTTGATAAACAGATCAATTTGATGTTCCCTGAAAATCAGGAATAAGGAGCAGACATCCATAAACTCATTGGTATGAACAGTCAAGATCCCTTAGACT